TATTTGGAAGAACAACAAGATTGGCGGAGACGAGCCCAAGCGGGCTAGCTCAGTTGGTTGAGCATGTAAGTGGCATTCAGGAGGTCAGGGTTCGATTCCCCACGTCGTCCATTCGGTCCCCCGCCCCCCCCTGTGGTATGCTTCGGGCTCACCAGCAGAGACAGTTGGTTTGGGCCTCCTGGCTAGTTGTGGAAGTTGTTGCAGGCTTTCCAGCCCGTGCCTAGGAGCCTGGGTACTGCTACCTGTACAGAGCAGAGTCGGGAAGAAGGTCCGTGCCCCCTGCTGAGTCATTTCTTTTGCAATTGGGTGGCATTGTCTTTCCTTGTGAATTTGCACTTCGGAAAAAGCCAGGATCGTAACATGTCTAGCTAATGAGGACTTGTCGTAGACATCTTGTAAATGCGATTGAGGGAAGGAAAGGTAGATCCAATCTTTTTCCAGAGGCTTTGCTCCCTTTGGCTTGCTGGTGCCGCTTTGCCTCTATGTCCCTGGATTTTTCATATATTGTTTTTTGAGAAAATACCCTTATATTCTTCTCTCATTATTTTATCTCCCACTGTCTACCTATCTCAGTCTTTCCACTGGTCTGCTCTGTTTGCCTAAGCTGCTCTGTGTGGGGAGCAGTACCCCGGCTCTTAACCCCTGGCGAGGGATGGAAGACCACAAGCAGGGCGACAAGCAACCTACCACCACCAGCCAGGGGGGCAAACCATCTTTCTCCGCTGGTGAACCCAAAGTGTGCCGCAGGAGGCGGCAGGGTGTCTAACGGATGCCCTGTGGACTCGAACCCACAACCTCCTGAATGCCAGTTATATGCTGTACCAACTGAGCTAGGCCTCCCTGGACTTATTTATTTTGAGTGGCTATGTTTGTGGCAGCTTTGCTAGGTATTCAACTTCATCGAGAGCTCCGCTCACTGATTTGGAAGCATGTGATCCCATATTGTATGTGTGGAATTGGGCATAGGGAAAACATAGCTTTGCTGCAACAGTTTTGGAACTCTACTGGGAAGTATATGATGGCAGGTTATGGAAGAGCGAGGATGAAAGGTAGTTGCCAGGTTACGGAAGAGAGGGAGGTTGAGACTTAGCGTCTTGCTAACTCGGAGAGTGATGCTGATGGATTTTTTGCAGGAATGGAGACGACAGCAGCTGGCTAGTGGGGAGGCTCTGGAGAACTCCAATTTCCAGCCTCTTGGGGGTGTGCTTGACTGGTATGTTTATGGTCGTACCACGTCCTGGGACCTTGATGTATGGTTTACACGTTTGCCATATAACACTGGAGCTTGCTTATGCCAGAGTGATTCACTAATGCTTTTCTGGATCCAGTATACGTCCCGGGCGCCTGAGGAATCCGGTCAACGGTGTATGAGACCCTGTGAAGAGCGTTCTGAATGTGCGCAATACGGTCTCCCTTGGATTATCAGAGTTGTGTTGTGAACACATCTGGTGTCCGAAATGGGTGATGTCAACCTCAATCTTTGCAGACACTGAACAGACCATAGTGCCTCATGGTTACTCAGATCAACCCTGTTTCAATCATGGTTTTGTTTCTGTAGTCGTACTTGGAGGGCCTCTCTTTAGGAATGCTTTTATAGAAGGACATTGTGCTTCACCCCACCGGCACACACCACTCGCGAGATGGAGCTGACCAGTAGAAACCGACTGGTCACCCGATTGCCGGCCGATTGGTTTTAGTAAGCTCGTGGTAAGTTATGGAATTGTGAGGGAGAGGGGAGGAGGTCCGAACGTGGCGGTCTGTAAGACCTGGAAGAGGAAGGTTTTGGTTTGGACCGCAAATGCATCTGATGGGTTGCCACTACCAAATAGATAACCCCTCTGCTGTTCCCTCTTTTCCCCCATTTTGCTTCGAACCAAGTGAGAGTGATGGCCATAGACACTGCTGATACTCAGATGAGGGTGGGTGAAGTAGATGGGAGGCGCAGCTACTGGCAAAATGCTAGGTCTTTGCGTTAGCCGGCCCCCCTCACCGGCGGCCGCACCCAGCTCCCTGACCACCGCTGATTAGGGCGGGGGGCAACACGCATCCCCTTAATTGTGAGAGGTAGCTATGCTTGCAGGTGTCACCTGTACAGGCTTAGTAGTAGTGGTAGGCAGCTAGTGGTGTTAATAATTTATTTGATGCATAGATGTATGGGGGAGGAGAAAGCGCAGATGGAGAGCGAGAGAGGGGGAGATGGAGAGATGTAGGGCATATCGATGTGTGTGTGTGTGTGTGTGTGTGTGTGTGTGTGTGTGTGTGTGTGTGTGTGAGAGAGAGAGAGAGAGAGAGAGAGAGAGATGGGGAGAAGGAGAAGAATTGCTAAGGAGGATGGTTAGTAAGAAGAAGGAGAAGCGAGCTATGGGAGGGTAGAGAGGATGAAGAGCGAAATTGCAGGAAGAGGGTAGACAGTGGGAGGTGAGAGCACTGACACCTGTGGAGGGTGAATCTTCACCTGTTTTGGCAAGGTCAGAAACAACAGGCCTGTTTTGCTGGCTTAACACCCAGCAGCATGGTTTCAAGCAACTAGCTTTGTCAGTATAAGGCACACATGCTGCCCTGGTTTCAAGTGGGGTCCACAGAGTGGCCTGGTACAGTTCCAGCATAACCATGCTTCAAATTTAAATACCACTATCTTTTTTTAGAAAGTAGTTTAGGAAGGAAGCTCGGGTACATCCTTGAATGTTGAAATGTGTGAGATTGATCTTCTCGCCTTCGCCTGGGCCAGTTGAACTTGACGGGAACAAGATAGCTTTCCAGTGCATAAAAGTTGGTTCGCTTGTAGTCTCCTAGGCTCCTCTTTGAGCCATCCGAATGCCTAGCGATACTGGCAAAGCCTCCCAGTCAAAGCGTTACAGTGGTACTACATGAAAGAGCAGATCTGTTGACGACAGAAATCTGTTATCGTTTGCCACGCCCAAGAAACATCTGTTGTTGTCAATAGATTTTAACAACTGGTTGTGCAAATAGATTATGGTTTATCGTTGGCACACGTCAGCTTGTTTCACAGATTAGCTCACTTTGATCTGCCTCTCAGCGATGTCTTCCGAAGGATCGATGTCTTTGCCTTCTACCCAGTTTCCAGGGAGCTAGGTATATTTCCCGAGATCTTTTGGCTCGTCCTGTTGTGGTCATCGTGTGGTTGCTTGGAATGTTCTTTCTGACAATGAAGAATGCGTGTGATGTCGGGCCTGCTGTCCAACAAGCAACCAGCTCCTTTGGTATCTGCTATGCTGGGAGTTTTGAAAACGTTTTACTTGCAACGGCAGAGGCGACTGTGGAGCATGTCCACAGTTGTCTGCTGGCAGCAGGGTTCTGAGGGGAATCATGCATGAATGCTGTTTGTCGACAAAAAAATATCATAATTAATTACGACTGGCGTCAATGGTTTTTTGGTGATCGCGCCTAAAGGCGGCTTCCTGGAAGCGGGACAGAAGACACTCACTTAGATCTGGTAGCAAAGAAGATGCGTGAACTGTTTGATGGATTGACGGGCTGAATCTTCACACATACCTGCACCTCCAGACTCTTCTCAGCTTTTGTATGGACGGAGGCATTCACACAAACTGTACTAGAAACCTATGGAACTGCTTAACGATCGTTGCTGCCAGATCCCTCCTCCTCTGAAATAGAAGTTTTGATCGCATGTCGCCTCCGGCCCTGGCTTCAGCAGCACATCCACTTCCACATGGGTCACTACCGGTAGAGTCCGTCCCATGGCCTTGTTCCCCCTGTCCAGTCTGTTATGGGTTGCTGACACGTCGAAGGTTTCCTTGTTCAAGAGACTGGTCTGGAGGTATCTCTGGAATGCTGCTTGGCGGCGATGGGAACAAGCAGACAACCGAAAGGTACGTATGTTTGCAGCCTTTGCCAATGTGATTTAGTCTGGCGAGTCGGTTTGATTAAGAGTAACGTGCATTATTGGAGTTTGGACCCTGCTGGGGTACCGCAACAACCTTCTTTATGGTCGATCGAAAAAGTGTGTAGGAGTGGAAAGCAAGGCTTCCCAGCGTTTGCTGAATTTGATGAGCAGCGACTTCGCGGTGTCTTCACAAGTGTAGTTCTGTTTCAAGAGGGAAATGACCATAACAATGGTAGTAGCTGAGCCTGGATCGAAAAGCAGAAGCTCAAATTATAAAGAGATGAGAAAATGTTTGATGGTCCAATTAAGTAGACTACTGACCTTTTGAAAGAAAGCAGATGATCTTCTTGATTTTGTAACCTTGTTTAGTTGGCATGAACTTGACCATAAAATGACCCCAAATTCGGATGTCAAGACTGGGAAGTTGTCTTTGGAAGTTTGGAGCAGGGGAGGGTACTTCTCAGCCCCCAGTTTGGGAGAGCAATAAAAATTGATGATGGCCTGCAACCGGCCCCCCCGGCGGCGAGTAGTCTCCTGGGATAAGTTTTGGTTTTGGGGTTGTCGTGGTAGATCTCGTAGAATTTTATTTTTTTTTTGGGGGGGGGGGGGGGGGGGGGGTGTTGAAGCAAGTGGGCTGCAGTTGAGTGGTGTGTTGGAAAGCATGTTCAGGTGTCAAGAAACTTACACACAAGGTCATCTCTCTCTAACTATTGGTTTTGTTTAATGAATGGAAGAAGGGCGCTTTCGATTGGGAATAACACGTTTGGGTAATTAGCTCAGTTGGTAGAGTGCCTCGTTCACACCGAGAGAGCCAGCGGTTCTCTGAGCAAGTGAAATGCCAGCCAGGGTCTTGTGTATGGTCAACGTCAACTGTTTGTTCCTTTTCTGTGGCAGAAGGGATGGGGAAAGGTGAGACGTTTTCTCGGCCGAGGAGGTGAACTTCGCTACGTTACCTCTGTTGTCCTCCTCCCTCCTCGTCCTCCTCCTCTGCTACTGATGGTATTCTTGCTTGAAAAATGTGTTTCAAACGCCTAAGTAATCGTTGTTTGCCGAAGGATGATCATGATGTGGGAGGAAGATCCTGTCTGCGTGTGCAGGTAATAGGAGGTGCACCTTGCCAGCCTCCTCTGCAGACCGTATGCACGAAGGCACTTACGGCAGATATAAACCGTAACAGCCATTCACAGGCGAGATTATCAAGGTCATTGTAATAGCCTGGTTGGTTATAAGATATTCAATGAATGGTGGAACTTCGGTAGGCTGAACACTCTCTTTCCCATCCCCCACTGCTGTCACTGCAGACAAATGGTTTATGATGCAGCATTGCTCCTCGTGGACCAGTTTGACTGACTTTATTTCAAAGTTATGTACCCTGCGGCCTGGTCGTTGATGCCTGCTTGCTTGGGAATCTTGTTCTTGGAGCACGCGAGGCGTGGGGATGATGTGAGGTGGAAAGCGCCTTCTGCATTCTGTCACGCATGAGGTTCAGGAAAGTCACCCACCTTCTGTGTGACATTGGGCCTGCAGTTTTGATCTGTGACTCTGTGAGCGTATTGTTCTTCCTTCGTTTTGTGCATCGACAGTGCATGTTGTTTGCCTTCAGCAGCGATGACATTGACATGAGGTGCCGTCAGTAGTGAAAGCTGACTAGTGTTTGCTGTGTTGTGTGTTTTAGGAGGGAGAGAGTGAAGAGAGCACGGAAAGCAGCGGAGGAGGAAGCAGAGCCTGCTCAAAATGTCCCAACAGAGGACAATTCTACAGAGGAGGACGGGACACAGGCGATTGAGGAAACGAAACAGCAGCCAGATTTGACAGCATTGTCGCAGGGTCTTCCAGAAGGCTGGGAGGTGAGCTCTTACAAAAGCCAGCTGATGTTATTTTCAAGATATTGTTCACATAATGCCATTGTCCAGAGTTAATAGCTGTAAGAAAATCAAGAGTGAGTGGGGATAATTTTTCTTCAGCAAAGCTCAAAGTGAGGGGACTCCTAAAGCGAGAAGGAACGAAGCCTGGTATAGCAGCTCTTCACAGTGCCCAACTCGATCTTACAGGTATTTTGTACAGGAACTGACTGAAAGTTTTACTTGGTTTAGTCTTTTAGACCAAAAGATGTCCAGAGAGAGGATCACCCTCTCTTTTCCTTCTGTTGCTGCGTGCTCACAAACTTACATTGCCATCTCTCTGCACATGAGCAAGTTGATCCATTTAGACCACCAATCCTGCGGACCTGTTTTGACAAACCAAAATTTGCATTTCCCAGAGCCTGAAATCTACAGTGCCGCCGTGAGGGAAACTAGTTGTGGTACCCTTCCCCACGGAACCTGTACCGGGCCAGGGCGCTGTGGATTTGGGCCTCTGTACTTGATGACAAGAAAAATGAACAGTGCGGGGTTGGTCGGAGCGGTGGCTTAAGAACAACTTCAACTTTGTCGATGGGCTTTGTTGTTGCACTATACTCATTGCTTGCTATGACAGCGTTACTTCACCGGGCTGGGGCTTTGTTCTTGCACTGTATGTATTGCTTGCTGTGACAGCCTCACTTCACAGAGCTGCATGGTTGAAGGACAAGGAACAGCGAAGCTATGGGTGTCTACTTGGGCTTTCCCACAATGACTGCTAACATTGCTGTTCTACCCCTTACTAGCAGCTATGAGATGTAGAGGGTGACTTTTGGATCAAGTAACGTCGTACTAACCCTTCCTGACTTGTTGTTTGTTGCTTGTTGCTACATGTTTGTTTCTTTTTGCTTGTTTGTTTGTTTGTTTGTTTGTTTGTTTGTTTGTTTGTTTGTGTGTGTGTGTGTGTGTGTGGGTGTGTGTGTGTGTGTGTGTG